CAAGGGAGCCTGAAAGCTATTTGGAATCAGAGGTACATCAACATGCTGATGATGTCTTCGTATCTTTGTTTCATCAAACCTATATCCTTTAGCATTAATGCTTTCTTAACTCAGATAGAAAGTACCCCCAAACAGCATACTGCTGTGGTTCTAATTAGATAGCTGGAAACTATGTTGACAGTCCAAGAGAACAGCTGACCAGCAGCCTCACCATCACCTGGGAACTTGTTAAAAATGCACATTCTCAGGTCCACCCCAGATCTACTGAATTAGAAACTTTGGGGCTGGAGCCCAGCAATCTATGTTTAAGAAGTCCTTTAAAAAAAATGAAATCTGTTGCCGTTGAGTCGATTCTGACTCATAGTGACCCTATAGGACAGAGTAGAACTGCCCCATAGGGTTTCCAAGGCTATAATCTTTACAGAAGCAGACTGTCACATCTTTCTCCTGTAGAGGGGCTGGTGGGTTAGAACTGGCAGTCTTTTAGTTAGCAGCTGAGGACTTAACCACTGCGCCATCGGGGCTCCCTTAGAAGTCCTCTAGGTGATTATAACACATAGTAAAGTTTGAGAACCATATCATTAGAGAAATGGGATACACAGAATCTATTGCGTGGTATCTCCTAGCTTTGTAGATGAAAACATTTCTGGATCCAATCATATTGTTCTTGGTTTTTAACCATACAACATACATAGTTTCAAACACTTCTATGTTAAACGTAACTGATCTCTGTAATAATTCATGTTTATTACTAAAGGGTAAGAGAACTTTACATTGTTGTGTATTTTCTTCCCCCAACTAACTCTGAAAAACATCTGGGAACTAGGCTGACATGAACGAATTAAACTACTCAAACTTCAACATGCTTTTCTTGTTTTTATTTCATTTTTCATCTGTCACCTTGTCTGCCTACTAATAGTTTTCATCAATTGTGAGGCAAATATGACCTTCCAAGTAAGAATCTTTAAAGTCCTAATGGTGAGGCATCTTATTAACAGAAAATCATGTTATTCCCAAATTTCACCCAAGAGGCCAAGACCTGTAAACAACGCACGTATTTGAGAAAATCTCTCAAAGATCCTGCTCCTGAATCTTCATTGATTTTTAAAGAAAGTGTGATTGAAGTGTGTGTTGAAGGCAGACAGCATAGGATGAACAGGACAAATGCGAAGGAATGGTGCATGATATGAAATTCTTCATATGGGTTCAAATGTGTCCTAAGATAAAATCTCATAAACCTATGTTTTCAAGTAGATTCATGATATGATATTGGGTCTCTAGTTCCTGCCTTTCCAGTTTCCTGAATTTTAGCACTGCAATGTCATGGGTCTTTTTCTGATGTGCACAAAACCAAGTGATGGCCAAGAGAGGCTAACACTGGAATCTCTACAAATGCTAGAAGTCTCCAATCCTAAAGAAGCATAAGCATTGGCCATACTCTAATAATGCTTTACGTATTACTTCTCCTCTCATTCTGAGGAATTTTCCCTAAAAATTACCAGATTAGCCTTCAAAGGCCTACTGCTGTAACATTTATCTAACTTGCAAGGCATTTGCCCCCTTTAATGGTAGAAGCCCTGGTTGCTGACTCACCCCAGAAAACATTCATTCCACAATTATTTGCTGAACACTATATGTGGCATCCATTGTGCTAGGCAGGGAGAAGACAACTGTGACCAAGAGAGATGACTATGGCCCTTGCTCTCATACAGCACACATTTAAGTAGATTCAACATCAATATAAAAACATTAGGTTTCTTGTAAGTTAATAATAAAGAAATACCCAAACACTGATTCTTCTAGTTTTAATTAAGCCCCAGATCCACTGGAGTTATGCTAAGCTCTACCATAGGCATGTGACCTGTTGCCCATGGACCCAGGGCTTTCTCTGAACACTCCGGTAACCAAGGTTAAGCCAATTGAGCTCTGGCCTTCTGATTTAGCTATGCCTAAACTCTGATTCTTGCCTTCCCATAATCCAGTTACACTGCCAAGAGTTTAGTCTTTCAATTAGCCTCTGACTAGTCTCCCTGCCTGATGGTGCAACATTAAGCACTCAGCTGCTAACTAAGAGGTTGGTGGTTTAATTCCATCTGGTGGATCCATGGGAGAAAGACCAGTAGATCTGCTTCTTATGGGACAAGGAAACCTTATGGGACATTTCTACTCTCGCATGGGGTCGCTATGAGTCAAAATCGATGGTACCTAACAACAGTAGCAACAACAATCTCCCTGTTTCTGACCCTACATCCCTATAGTCTATTCTCAACAGAGTGGCCCTTCTAAAATTTATGTCAGAACTTCTTGTTTTTCTGATGAATATACTCCAGTGGTTTCCCCTTCCACTCAGAGTAAAAGCCAAAGGTTTATGAAGGCCACCCATTGCCCTTTCTTAACTCTGGTCCAGCCACACTGACTTTTTGTCTATTACTAGAAGACCAAAACCCTTTCCTTAATCACAGGTGAATGTATTTGCCTTATGCTAAAATATTTTTCTTAGATGGCTACTTTCCCTCAATTTCTTCACCTCTGTGCTTAAAATAGTCTCATCAGAGAGGCCTTCTTTGCTCCCTCTTCCACGACATTGCTCCATAAACTCCTTATACTCCTTTATTATTTTTTCTCCATAGCACTAATTACCCTTCAATATACTATTTTTGTGATGATTTATTTATTTGTTTCTTGGGTGTCTTCCCTCACTAGGGTCAAGTTCCATGAGGGTATGAATTTCAATATGATTTGTTCACTGACTGCTATATATAAATTACCTAGAAAATGCCTGGTAGCACATAATAGGTGCTCAATAAATTTAGGTTGGTTAAAATAAACTTCCTCACAACTGAATAATAAGCAACATCATGATAAATAGAGAAAATATTCAAGTTGTCAAGAATTTCATTTTACTTGGATCCACAATCAACGCCCATGGAAGCAGTAGTTAAGAAATCAAACAATGTACTGCATTGGGAAAATCTTCTGCAAAAGACCTCTTAAAATGTTAAAAAGCAAAGATGTCACTCTGAGGACTAAGGTGACTTGACCTAAGCCATGGCATTTTCAATCACCTCATATGCATGCAAAAGCTGGACAATGAATAAGGAAGATCAAAGAAGAATTGATGCCTTTGAATTATTGTGCTGGTGAAGAATACTGAATATACCGTGGACTGCCAGAAGAACAAATAAATCTGTCTTGGAAGAAGTACAGCCAGAATGCTCCTTGGAAGCGAGGATGGCGAGACTTTGTCTCGTGTACTTTGGACAAGTTATCGGAAGGGACCGGTCCCTGGAGAGGGACATTATGCTTGGTAAAGTAAAAGGTCAGTGAAGAAGAGAAAGACCCTCAACAAGATGGATTGACACAGTGGCTGCAACAATGGGCTCAAACATGGGAACAATTGTAAGGATGGCGCAGGACTGGGCACTGATTGGTTTTGTTGTACATAAATAAATATATATATGAATGTCTATCTCTAGCCTCTCAAATAATTATCTAGTCTCATTTATGTGTGTGTTCTGCCTACAACAGAAGAAACAGTCATCATATGTTTCTAGTTATCCTTGGTAATGCTTATGTAATGTGACTATAATATAAAGTGTGAGGTAAATTGATACTGCCACACAGGGGTCCCCTTCCAACTTCAAAGTATCAGACTTTTATCCAGAAAACTTCTCAGACTTTGGAGACAGAAGAACAAGATTTAAAATATTTAGTTCAAAGCATATTTTTCAAGTACTTCTTATTTCCCTGGCCCTGTACTATGCAAGTGGATACAAAGATGAGTAAAATACAGCTCCGGTCCTCTTTTCTGAAGCTACTATCTTAGACAAGTCGCTTAACTCCACAATGGTTGTTTCCTTTTTATGTGTAATATGACTTGATTGCAATAATTGATGTCTGAGACAGCTCTCCAGGAAAAAAGAAAAAAAAAAGCTCCCATGGTTATAAGACATCTCTACTTTGGATTTTTTTTGCGGGGGGAGGTGGGAAGTAAGAGAGTAGATTGGATGAAGAAAAGCCGAGAAAATAAAGTTAACATTTTGAAAGCTAGTGATGAACTAGCAGTGACTCTGATTTTTTAGTGAGATTAATCTGTAATGTGGTTAATATTCATGTGACAAATTACCTACTGACTACAGAGTTATAATTCCTGCCTAGTAGAGAGATTCCAAATACGTTCAGGCATTCTAAAGCAACATCAAATTCATGATACTGATTTAGCTAAAATGAGTAATTTATCTTTCTATAGAAATGTTTGGTTTTTCTTCTCAGAATTAATATCCTTTGTAAGGCTTTATCTTTCTCTAATAGTATTACAATTTGAGGAGTCCTTGGTACATGTAGCCCAGTTGATGCTTCACACAGGACTAGTCACTGGCCACTTATAAGAATAAAATAATTTTAAATCTGATGTCATTTTTAGAAAGTTAACTAATTATTAGTTCTGAACAGTGCTTACACTGGAACTCTTCTTAAAAAGTACAAAGCAATCTCCTCATACTATTTGCCTCACAACAGCAGATAAATTGACTGTAAGTACGACCAAAGTGTATATCTTTGAATGCAGATTGTAAACAGGACTTATGCAAAATTCTGAATGTCTCTAACTACCAAGTTCCCCTAATCTCCAGACATTTTGAGAACAGTGACTATTGTTCAGGATATAGAACACTTAGTGCATTACAATGCTACTAGTTGAATAGAATACATTTCAAGGATACTAACACTGAGAACAAAAAGTACCTCTATATTGACAAAGATAAATTTCTCATTTTATTCAAATCATTATTTTAATATATTTGTATGTATATATATATATACACATATATATTTTACTTTAAATGCCTAAATTAGATAAAACTATCATGAAATTTTTTAACTTGCATTTGCAAATTTCAAGAACATTCTAATAATTTAAACTAGGGAACCATAGATTAATAGTCTCATCTCTTAAAATCTTCTGCATTACAACTCTGTATTTTCTGATGGTTCCATTTTACCTCCTCTGGGACAGCTCTTATATTAACAAAGCCTTTTCTGAAGACGATGAACACGCGCCGGGCTCCACAACGTAAAGCGGATGTTGCACAGTCAAAGGCAGTGTCTCCGGCTCCGAGTACAATCACGGCTCCCTGTATCGATGGCAATGGAGAGTGACAGGTGCACATTCCTGAACAATGAAAGGAAAACCCCATTTTCAAGTAGAGAAACCATTTCTGCATGACAGCTCAAAAGATACTTGTACTCAAAGCAGTGTAAAATTGTATCTTGCAGTTTTCGAGGATGGAGTGTCACTATCAAATTATTCTGCTTCATTGAAAGACAGTTTTATTCCCATTTTAAAAATATGCTCATATATGTAATTTTATAGTCAGTACCTTTAGCAGCATTGCCTCCTTTTTTCCTTCTAGAAGGATCGTTACAACACATTCTAAAGAGTTGAGGTCATAACAAACTATAATCAATCAATGAGAACTCTCTTTGTTAACGTTGTGATATGTATTTTTAACTTAGCATCATTAAATTTCTGTGTGTCTGAAGAAAAAATGATCCTTATCATATGGGTTAATGATTCACAGTAATTCATTCAATACTTCATTTACACGTTATCTTATAAGATTTCTAATATGTAGCTCTATGTATGTACTATATACTATATAGTTATATGCTATATATAACTACAAATTCTAATATGTAGTTATATGACTACATATTATAATATGTAGTTATGTATAGTATAGCAAACTTTGGAAAATTTAAATATTGAATAATTAATTGAATATAACTGAAGAATACAACTGAATATAACTGAAGAATTTTTGAGAATTATTTTCTTCTAATAGTTAAAATAAAACTTTCACCATGTCACTGGTTTTCCTGGGTTTTGTTTGCAAAATTCAGTAATAAAAGAAATATGACTTTCTGAGTGTCCACTTCTCAAGGCACTTGTATAAAGATTTGATACCCATATGATAAGCCTTACTGAAAAAAAAAAGGTGTTCTCTATATACTAGATAGTGTTCTATCATCAAATTAAATAAAAGTGCTGATAAGATAAATTACTATAATTTTTGAAATGGTACCATGGATTGAATAAACCTATAATCTCCATAAATGTAATCATTTTGGTTGGAAGAACTTGTACTGGGGATTATACAATTGCCACTCTGTAATTCTACAAACTGTGACCCTCAGTAGCAAGCATCCAGTTTTCCTGGAAGGAGGGAGGTAGAGATGGTACACATCTTCAGCTTTAAACTTCTGCAGAATGATCTAATACAAAAAGTTTCTTAAAATTTGGGGAGAAAACTGTATGCCACAGATTTTACACGTATAATTAGATGTTGGAATATCAGGCTTCTTTAGAAATATATCTTTAAAGGATTTAGATCATCACGTTTCTGAAAAAACAGTACAGCTTCTTCATCACAAAGATCATGACTTTGACCAAGCCATACCATGGTACAGGCTTAGCTCCAAGTTGTTCTTGTTTGCGTGCATGAGGTAATTCTACTCAGACTTCATACCAAGGTGTTTTGCTTTACATTCATAAAATTACAATCAGTTAGAGAACTTGAATATTTCTGCCTTCATGGACATAAATCAATTAAGATATATTATGTTTGTCCTATACGTTCTGATGCATGCCACAACATGGATGAACCTTGAAAATACTATGCTCAGTGAGTAAGTCAATCACAAGAAGATGGATATTGTATAATTTCACTAATACGAAACATTTAGGCAAATGTATACGCATCAGAGTTTAACAGTGGTTACCAGGCAGAAGGGGAGGCGAAAGAGAGAAATCTTTATTCAGCTAGCATCGAGTTTCCGTTTATGAGGATGGCAATGGATGCTGGTGATGGTTTCACACTAAATGAAAACTTGAATTGGCAAATGTTGTTACCTATGTTTTTACAACAATTTAAAAAAAGAAGAAGAAAAAAAAGTTCTCAAATGGTAGCTCCTACCATTTCTCTTAAGAATATCTTCTAAAGTTTGTTATGGGCTCTCTTACACTGAAGTAATTTTTAATGATGCAGTTTATATCTGCATATAATACAGTGAAAAAATTATGATGATGTTGGATTATAAGAATGACTCTGGCAATACGTCATCTGTGGATTTTTTTACTTTCCTTGGGTGTTATTCAAAGAATCAATCTGACATCTGAACAACATCCTACTGAGCTTGTATTCAATATAATTTATAATACATGCAACAATAGCAGTGCCATTAAGAATAAAAGATAATATATTATACCTGGTTTACTGCCTTTAGCTACAAGTGGCAAAAAGTCTTTAGATGTGTAAAATCCCTGGTCCTGTGTCAGGCCTTCAAAGATGCGGTCTTTATTTGGTTCTGGCAGACCTAAGTAATAAAATGTTTATAAAATTTATCATTAGTAGGAAGAGGAATTTATCATACTAGATATTAAAACAAAGTAGAAATCTGTAATCATTAAAATAAACCTTTGACAGAAAAAAAAACTATAGGCAAATTAACAGAAAAAAAAAAAAAAAACCCACAATGTAACAGAGAATACCTTTAATATGTGACCAAGTACACATCACAAATCACATATGTATGCATACATGTATATATACAGAAACATATATATGTATCTAATACACACAAATTGAATATATTATTTCTTCATATCATAGATAAAAAGTGTCAGGCAATTCATGTTATAAAAACCATAAAAAAAAAAAGAAAATGTGGATGTATATCCAATTCCTGAAAGTGAAAGATCATTCTAAGGAAAAACAAAAATGTGGGAGAAAAACTCAAAGAAAAATCAATGTCATATTTTACCAAAAAAACTCAGCTACTTCTCTCATTTCAAAATTATTATAGAAAGTATATGATTAACCAGAAAAAAATATTTTTAAATAAAATTACTATGTAAAGAAGTTTCTAAAATATCAATGAGCATACTAGCAATAAGAAACATACACAAAAATAATGAAAGTTGAGAGAAAAAAACACCATCTTAACTCCATTTGTAATTAAAGAATGGCAAATTGAAACAAAGAGATATGATTCCCCTATATTAAAACAAAAACTGCAATAAATAAATAAGTAAATAAATAAAATAGGCAGAATACCTAAATGCTCACAGAATGATTAAATGAGTCCTACTTAAAAAAAAATAAAAATAAAACAGAATATAGCCATTAAAACCAGTATTTGAAAATTTTGGTGTCAGACCATAGTCAAAAACAAAACAAGCAAACAAAAAAACCCATAGTGTTAAATGAACTAGCAAGATACAAAACAGTTTGTATAGTATGACTCAAATTTTGTATAAAAATATATAAACTATACAATCTGAGCAGTGATTATATCTGGGGTTGTGGAAATATGGATATTCTATTTTTTTTATTATTATTTTCCAAATTTTCTACAACACACATGCATTCCTATACAATTAGGAAAGAAATACAAAATTTTGAAAAGAAAATGAACAGCGGATTAATATTTTTTCCCAAATTAAAAATAGAGCAAATATCATAGTAACCACCTCACCATAGGAAAGTAGAGAAATAATTCATCTCAATTCTATAAACACAGGTGGAAATGTATAGTTTAATTTTATTTACTCTTCAAAACTCATTTTCCAATGAGTCATTCTAGAGAGGTGTCAGCTTGTTTTATAGTTAAATGAAGAGCAATGGGTAGCTGCTAGTGGACAAATAAATAATAAATGTGGCTCAAGGATGACTTTTGTCATGTGAGACAAGGTAGACGCCACGCCTGAGCTCAAAGCTGAAGATGCTTGTAGGTTGAGTGTGTAACCAGCAACAAACCCCCGCTGTCTCTTCATATTACACTAAATATTTTTCTTCCCCATCCAGCAGCCCTCCATTCTCTCCTCCAAAGGAATTTACTCTTTGCTTAAGATCTTTAATTTTTTTTAATTATCCTAATTATTTAAAGAGGTTAGGCAAGTCACTCAAGTAGCCTTACCTTGGTTTCTCTATAAATTAAATCGGCATAAGACTGTATGTTCATTTTTTGACATACAGGAATATTCTTAGGTATATTGGAAACATGGAAACCATCACATAAATGTGTGGTTATCTATGTAAAACATTTAGAAAGCCAGGGGGCAGTGGAGAAAGGGAATTACATGAAAATAGATGAATGTATACTCTAAAATCTAATGTCAAAATGTTTTCCCTTGAAATCTATTAAGGGATGATTGCAATTTTACCTACACTTGGTTAGTCAAACCAATATATGCATATGCTACATATCTAGATTTAAATATAGACTCTAGTATCCCCTCTCATATTACTATATGATAAAGATAGCTTATGTTGTACAGCTATTCATTTTCTTGCTTAAAATGACCACAAACAATCTGAAGTGCTATGCAATTTCAAGGTGATATAATAAGCAAAAATCTGTAAGGCAGATCAAAAACAAGGCACAGAGAATGTAAAAGGTGGATAAAAGTGCCACAGGTACTTGCAATATTCTAAAATCCTACCTTTACTAACTCCTAATCTGGGTTTTGTCACTATTTGCCCTACTAAGGCAGAGAGAATGCTTTACGTATATAATTATTTTCTATAAACTCACCACTAAAATAACTATTATGTAAAGAAGTGCAAAAGGAGCCTTGGTGCACAGTGGTAAAATGCTTGGTTGCTAACTGAAAGGTCGGTGGCTAGAACCCACTAGCTGCTCCATGGGAGAAAGATGCGGCAGCCTGCTTCTCTAAAAATTACAGCCTTGGAAAACTTATGGGGCAGTTCTCCTCTGTCCTATAGAGTCGCTGTGAGTCAGAATCGACTTAATGGCCCCGGGTTTAAAGACGTGCAAAGTACTATTACTAACACACACACCATACCCACAGAGATTTTCTCAAGAAAAATGATTCGGTAAAATTTAATTTTCATTTTTTCACTTGGAGCAAGACACTGACAAGGTCAACTGAGTTCCTTGTGCTTTCACCCACTTTGCACTTATCTCTAGTCAATTTAACAGTCACTGGGTCAGATTCTCCCTGTACATGTTTGAGAGGGCGCTGGTTAGATGATCTGACCTATGGATGTTAGTTTAAAGAGAGGAAAAATGAGCCAGAGCTTGGATTATGGCTTGCATAATGCATACAGCCCACATAGCCACACCCCAATTCACATACACATTTAGAGTTTCAAGGTCTGAGCCCACAGAGTCCTTCTGCTCCACACAAGTAACAGGTTACCCCTTGTGCCCTAGTGCACTGCATCAGAAGCTTTCCTACGGACCCTTCAGTACTCTGGTCCAGCTGTACTCTATTCTCTGCTAACTATGATGCTGTGTGGTACTTAAAAGCAGTAACTTTGTTACCAGACAGACTTTAGTATGAGCCCTTCCTCTTCTAATGACCAGCTCTGTGATCTTGTGTAAGTTTCTGTGATGGTTATCTTTGTGTGTCTACTTTGGCTAGGCTACCAAAACCAAAAAACAAACCCGCTGCCATCGAGTCGATTTCAACTCATAGTGACCCTATAGGACAGAGCAGAACTGCCCCATGAGTTTTCCAAGGAGCGACTGGTAGATTCAAACTGCCAACCTTTTGGTTAGCAGCCAAGTTCTTAACCACGGCACCACAAGGGCCCCGAAGTGGCTATGGCACCTACTTATTCAATCACCAATCTGGGTGTTACTATAAAGCTATTTTGTAGATGTGGCTGTAAAGCAGTGAGTAATCCTCATCCAATCAGTTGAAAGATCTTAAGAGTAAAACTGACGTTTCCTGGAGGAGGAAGAAATTCTGCCTCAAGACTGCCACATCAGCTCCTGCCTGAGAGTTTCCAGCCTGCTAGCCTGCCCTACTAATTTCAAACATGCTAGTGCCCACAGTCATATAAGCAAATCCCTAAAATAAATAAACATATCTCTCTCACTCCCTCTTCCTCTCCCTCCATCTCTTTCTATTTATATATATCTTATCCTACTGATTCCGTTCCCTTAATCCCCCTGACCTTCCACTATTTCACTGATAAAGTAGGGATAATAATTACACTTTCTTCATAGGTGTGAGGTTTAAAAGAGATTTTTTTATATACATACATACATACACAGCATTGAGACCTGGCACATAATAAATGCTCAATAAACATTAGCTATTACTATTAAGATAGGTTTATGTATCCTGTAGTTTATCAAACTTAACAGCCTAAGGCAAGGAAAAAATAAAGCTTAAATCAAAGTAAAGTATTAAACCTTAGTAAATTTAAACAAAGTGCTACAAAAAATAAAAATGAGGCAACTTTAAGTGAAATATAAAAGATAATGAAACTTGCAAATACCCATCTATCAAAGAAAGATTTCCCTGAGAGTAGGTGGCATATTAATAAATAAAGTATGTGTCTATACCAGGATGATTTCAAAATGACACTGAAATGATTTTTTAATTCACCTTTCAGTGAGACGAAGAAAGTTTATGAATAAAGAGAAATTGGCAAAGATTTGACAAATAAAACAGCCCAGTGTAGCATATGTATAGTGTTCTTTATCTCTCTAAAAGTCCACATACTTTGTTTGTTACTCTAGATAAAATTACTGGGTTTTTTTTTTTTTTTTTTTGCATTTCAAAATTTATTTATCAAAGGAAAATCTCCTTAACAGCTATTGAAAATGGTAATTTTCCAAGTTCTCCGAAATGAAAATAAGTTTTACAAGTCTGCTTATATTGCAGAAAATTTGTTAGTACTTATCAATTATTCATAATATTACAGGCACTATTCTAATTACACGGCATGTCAGTAGGTGATTAGTACATACTAACTCATTTAATTCTTACAACAATCGTATGAGACAAGTTATGTTATTACGATCCCCATTTTAGACGAGAGGAAACTGAGACATATAGAGATTAAGTAACTTTGCTGAAGCTCACAGAACAATTAAGTGGCACTGCCAATTTCTAACCTGGACAGTCTGCCTATAGAGTCTGTGGTTTTAACTTCGAAACGCTGCTTTTTTTCATGTATATGGTTATAATTAAGCCTTGCTATAATGTGATGTTATTTAACAAGTGCTATCTAAATTAAGGGGCCCTGCTGGTGTGATGGTTAAGCATTTGGCTGTTAAACAAAAGGTGGGAAGTTCAAAACCACCAGCCGCTCCTTGGAAACCTCATGGGGCAGTTCTACTCTCTCATATAGGGTCGCTATGAGTTGGAATCGACTCGAAGGCAACAAGTTTGGTCTTCTTGGTTTATCTAAATTAATCATTCAACATATGTGTATCAAATTTTACTGTAGAGATATAGATGTGTGTATAGCACAGAATGTGTCTGCGGTAAGGTTTCAATCTAGCGGTAAAGAGTGACCCCATATCCTTGGTGGCTGGTTCTCTAGGCTGCATCT